TCCAGAAGAGAAAGTAGCAGCTCTTCCTCCAACTGCTTCATATCGCTTCAAATTATAAAAAGGTAAGATTTATATGAACTACTAGTACAATTTGTTTGAGAAATCTGAATGCATTATATGAATTTTGTCACCCAAAGTTTGCAAGAGAGGTGCACAATCTTACAGCAAATTGGTGTTTTCTTCTGTGGTTATACCTACGGATGTGTGGAGTTAATTACATCATCATTTAAATTGTATAATGTATTGAATTGGTTCAACAGAGAATGATCCGAAAAAGAGAAATCAACTGTCTGGGTTGCAGAAGCAGTTGAAAGAAGGAAGATTAACCATGAGAACATGAAAGACATGCACTATAGTAAGAATTTAAATGTGAGATACATAAATATTGATTTTTACATTTTTATCTCCATTAGTATCTTCTCTAGAGATACTTAATGAAAATGAGTTTACGAATATTCATTCCTTACAGATGCTGCCTAAATATGAATCAATGGGGATTTAATTAGCAGAATGCAAACAAATTAAGTGGGTATATATAGGCTGATTTAAAACTGTCCAAGACAGTCACTCCACTGCCCTACTTTTAGACAAGTTTGTCTCCAGCAACTATTGTTTTCATATCACTGTAAGATCTGAGAAATAAATTCTATACCACAAAAGTAAAAATTAAAGCTTTTCAATAATTATTGTGATTATTTTATAAAATTTAATTTAGTCTTCCATCCTGCTATGGATTTCCTTTAGACTGGAACCATTGTATTTTTACAGAACTTCCATAAGTCATTTTAGCATGGTAGGTAAATTAGATGTAAAATACATCTACCTGAAAAAGGAATTTATGTATAATTAAAAAAAAAATTGCTATTTGCAAACAGTTCCATGTAATTAGAAATCTGTTTTATTCATTCTTACAAAAATTTATAAAAATACTCCATTTTTACTACTGTAACTCCACAATTTGTATTGTTAAAATGGAAATAGATACAAATCTGACTTTTGAAAGATTCTGTTTAAAAACTCAATGAAATTAACCTCACTGAAATTGCATGTAGGTACAAAAGACATCTGCAGTACAACATACTGGGAAAACCAGCAAAATCGGGTTGATCACATAAGTTTCTGATCAAAATTTGAGAGACGTATTTGTTACATGCTTTCTGGTGCTTCAGACTGAGATGTGTTTTTATCTCCAGTCAGAAAGAAATTAAAATAATTCCATTAGTCTAATATGCATAGGAACAATAATTTTCTGTGTAAGATTAGCCTCAGTTTTCCTGCACCTTGGCAATGATTGCCTGGTTTCTAGCAGTATCTACTCGTAATCTAAATAACTTAGAGCAAATAAAACCTTTTTTTCTGATGGTTAAATGAATTGATTAGCGGTAATAAACTGAGCAACTATTATTGTGCTGATCATCTCTTTTTCTCTACAAAACATGTTTATGTTCCCAAGAATAAAATAGCAATTTTTTCTTTAAAAACCATACCTCCTTTACCATACCTGAACCTGTTGAAAACTGCTGTTGCTGGCTTGTGTTACCAATGGCAAGTAGTAAACATTAAACAAACAAAACTGATTCTAATTTTTTAAAAGAACATATTTGATGGAAGTTTAATAGCTTTAGCAAAATGCTTATTTTATTAGTAAGGATTCTATTACTTGAAAATTGTATTAATTTCAAGAAACAGCATTTATACATCTTTCTTTTTAGTAACAACCCCAGATGTTGATTCTGAAAAATTTAGAAAGAAGATAAACATCCATTTCACTTTAAACATGTTCTTTAGGACTGTTTACTTCTGAAAGCTCTGTCAATTGAAACATAACAGTGAGGTCCAAATACTTTGAAATCACTGAAAATCTGTTTACTGACTACAGTGGGCTTTGAAGTTCTATTTTAATAAGTTCTATATATAAAAGTAGCTTTGGGTGTCTGATATGACTATAAGGAGGCTGGATGAATGACCAGACTATTTCTTTCATTCCACCTCAGTGACTTAGGTTTATATCTAATCCGTTTCATGGTTTAATGAAGCTACAGGCAGCTGTGAACTGTTTTTCTTTAGTTTTTCAGGTTGTGTCCAAGTATACCAAACAGCTAGCACACCATTAAGCAGGGCAAATTTATTTATGTATGGTGCAATAGCCAGTCTGAATTAAGTCATTTAAGTTATTTTCAATACCAGCTGGCAGGGGGGTGACTACATTACAATCAACCCATTTTTGTGACCAGAGCGGACTCATCTCCCCAAGAGTAGGCAGAGCTTTTGTTCCATTGTTTGAAGCCTAGGAAATGGGAAAAGGTGCATTCTTCGGGCCAAACGTTGGATGTCAGTGTTGCACCACCAAATTTCAGCTGCGCGTGAAGCACTTAGAAGTCTATAATACTACAAATACGGTTATAACAGAAGTGAGTACACGGTCACTAAGGTATTTGTTGGTACTAGAGCAGGATATGTGCAAGTGCAGGAATCAAATCCCGTGAACTGGGACAACACAGAAGGCAGAAAGGTCTCCATTCACACCGACAAAAAATGAGGAACGCCGGCAGCAGCTTCTGCTTGAGAGGGGGAAATTGACTTCATTGCTTAATAATACAGGCTCCCAGACAATCTTATATTTATCACTTTATTTTCCTGGGTTTGATTAAGATTTTACTAAGATTTTGATTGCATTCTAGTAAAACTTTTGTATTATACATCAAGATTCTCTTAAAAATTAGGCCTCACAAAGTACCAGAAGCAGTATGTCCCTCCTGACCGTAGGTCATATGCCTGCCAACAGTCAGGCCTTGCATCTCTTAAGTTATTTTATAATAGATGGAAAAATCAGATTTAATAAAAAACCTACTCAGAGGCTGGGCAGACTGCTGGGGCAGAGTAGAAGTCCTACAGCAGGAAGGTTTTTTGATGCAGGAGTTTACTTTTTCAGAGATGTTCACATGGCCCCTCATTGCACTGCTCAGTGCAGAGCCAAATCTAAACCTCAAGTCAGAGTAATCTGCGCCTTCTCGACACATCATTCCTTCATAACGTTCTTATGGCTACCTCCAGCCCACAAGATATTTAAATTCATCCTATTGTAACAAGGAAATACAGTACAGAATAGATACATTTTCACTTAGACTGCCTTATTTTATAAATAGTTGAATTTCAGTAATATAACTCCGCCAGTGGAGCCAGAGGATTTCAGTGCAGCCTACATCTAGTGAGGAGGATGTTTTTTGGTTGGTTCTTACTTCAATGCACTCATCCTTCCTCTCTCCCTTTGTTTTTCAGACTGTAACATAAACTTCCATAGGAAAGTGTCATGGATGGCAGAAGGGCTCTTTCAAATACACAGGCATCAGTCCAAGTACATGAGGAAATTATTTCCAGTGACATTTTGCTGATGTGAACTCATTGCAATTTCTGTTGCTTTACATCAGATTAAGATTGTGGTCCATACTGATTTTAAAGTTAGAATGAATGAGCATTTAGTATTCATGATTCAGTGAATGAGCATTTAATGAATTAATAGCATATTCAATTTCTTTGTCAAAGTCAAAAGTACCTAACCAAATTTTAAATTCATTCCCTTTCCTATACGCTTTCTATAAATTTAAGTTATTCAAAATAATTTAAAAAATCCCAATATATACTAGTTGATTTTGTAAGTAGATTTCCTTTCATTTCCTATTTATGCAAAGCACTTTTGAGTTTATTAGCTATTAGCTGCTCATAGACTCTTTTGCGCAGGGTTTTGTGAACCTAAAATGAGTAGTATTTCCTTGTTCAACAGTTTTCCTATAGGGGATCATGTGTCATATAATAATACTACATTAAATAATGAAAACTGTAGCACACATAACTAGGAGATTAGAGAATGCCTTATTCCCAATGCCTAATCTCCAATTCACTAAAGTTATAACTGTACTACTTTCATCAGTTCATCAGTCACTAACACAAGTAAGGGAATCACAAAAGCATTTGTACAGACTATAACACTAATTTATATTGAATAATCTCACAGTGGAGTCAGTGAGATTGGCTGAGTTATTGCAGTGCGTGTGATGAAGATGAAGACACGTATAACAATGTGGCCATTTCAGTCACATGGTTGAAGCCAACAGAATGACTTCTAACAGTAAGACTTGCATCTGGGACGCAACATTCTCTGCTTTGGTTTATTACCATTAATATGAGGCAGGGGGGTTGGACCAGATGATCTTTCAAAGTCCCTTCCAACCCCTAACATTCTAGGATTCTATGCTATACCCCATATCCTGTATATCCCATGTAGCCTCGTAATAGAAGCTCTTAAGATGAAATAAAGTGTTATGTCAGCATGCAACAGTCAGAACATGACATACCACATCATGGATTGAACACGAGCCAGTGTGTGGCTTGGTATTTGTTTTGTTGGGGGTTTTTTTCTACAGAGTCACACCTATTAATAAGTCATTTCTAAGTCCAGAGGCCTGCTGCTGCAATATCTGTTATGTCAAAAAAAAAAAATACTTTTAAAAGGAGGGTGGAGGGCCTTAAGTTAAAACTGGGGAGCTGCTACTGCGACAGTATTCCTGACAATGATTTGCTTTGTTTTTTCTCTAGTGAATGAGCTGGGGGGAAAAAAATAAAAGTCTCACTAACACCCTAGTTTTGCAATAAAACAATATTAGCGAAACACATCTAATGCTTGCCGTCCGCAGAACACGGGGCAAAGGAGACACAGACTTTCATCCTCGTATTACCAATGAAAGTGAGGGTGCAATTACTCTCAGCTCACCTTGCATTCTAGAATAGAGACTAGAGCCTAAAGACTGAAGTAGGGGCTCTGTTCTCTGAATGCCTACCCAAGGCAGTAGTCTCCATCCACTGGACATGGACCCCATCCTCATAGGGTTGCAGTATCTTCAAATTTAGATCATTGCTAAGGATGTCTGTTTTCAGTGTAACTTATTAAGATATATGTAAAGATGATTACATTTTTCTTTGTTGCCTTATTTCTGTTTTGACAGGCAATGAAAATCAAAAGTGCTTATTTTGTTGCTGGACTCCTTTTAATGATAGTTCAAGGCAGCTGGCAAAACCCTCTTCAGGACACGGAGGAAAAATCAAGGTAAATGCTTTAGCTCAAACACCTAGAAACACTCGGCCTGAACTTTGTTTTCTTATAGTTTGAAGCAAAACATGCTATGACTTAAAGATAGTTCCCTATAGCCTGTTACACAGCACTTAGTCTACCATTGAAATTGGCAAAAGTTATTAATGTTGCAAAACATAGCACAGAAGTTTTCTGTGTTACGAACAATAGCTACCGTAGTTATCCAAGAAGACCTTGTAATTGCACAGTATCCAATCTGCTACGCTGGTTCATTTCAGTAGCTAGATAGTGATCACTACACCACTTGCTCTCACTTTGTGAGAGTATAATAGTATTTTTAAAAGTCAATGCACCTGGGGAATGTGCTATAACCATTGCCAATTAACAAGTTCTAAACTTTTCACAGATCATTCAAAGCTTCCCAGTCTGAGCCCTTAGATGAATCCAGACAGATGAATGAAGTGAAACGTCACTCACAAGGCACATTCACCAGTGATTACAGCAAGTATTTGGACACTAGACGAGCTCAGGACTTTGTGCAATGGTTAATGAGCACTAAAAGAAATGGGTAGGTATTTTGGTCACATTGATACAGATCTTCACAGATGGAAACAGCCAAAAATCTAGATGAATTCATTTTTTTTATTTCAGCTTCCCATCACAGACCATGTATAACCCTCAGATAAGTAAAGTACTTGAGAAAAATTTTTATATAATGTTAATATTTTATTAGAAATAGAGAATATATACAAAATCAGTCAAAAGGCTGTGGATGAGTCAAGCGTAGTATCAGTATATTACCCAATATGTCATTGATAAAGATTATCTCAGCCTCCTTGTGACAGATTGTTTCATGGGATGAATTAAGTTCCAGAGGAATTAAATATGTAAATATCATGTAAAGGTCTGGGACATTTAAAGTATAAAGTCTTAATTTAAATTCATAAGCCTGGAAGTATTTGTAATATTCATCTATCAGTCATAGTTGTTTATCATAATATTTAAATAATAACCAGTAAAATCTTATCAGCTCGTGCATGCTTTGCAATGTAATGGTAATAATGGTCTAATGATTGTGGAATTCCACTACAGCCAACAAGGACAGGAGGACAAAGAAAATGACAAATTACCGGACCAGCTCTCAAGGTATTCTAGTTGCCACAACCTGTTACTCAAAACCAGTTTGAGCTCATTTTCTGTTAAACACAGAAGAAACAACTAGAATTCTTTACAACATTACAATAATCCAAGAAATAGGTATCAAAAGAAATTATCTTGAACTTTCTTTTTACAAGGAAAGAGGAAATGTCTCTATGTTATTTATTCCTGTACTTGTGTTCTATAGCTATGTGCAGTGGCTTCAAGAAATACAACAGGGTGAGAACAGATTTCAGGAAGGTGCATTTCCGGTAATAACGGAGAGTAGAAAATTAGATTAAAAAAAAAAACTTGGTATAGAAAAAGACTGAAGAAAAAAAAATCATGTTGATGAAAAGAAAACCAGTGAGAAGACTAATGAAAGGAAAATGGCCAGGCAGCGATTTGCAGAGAGTTGATAAAACAGGATGCAATGCCCAGCCCTAAGCACTCCGTCCCAAATTATATAAACTGCTCATTACCAGTAAGGAGAACATAAGACCTGCTGGAGGCCAGAATTTTGTTTCCTAACAATGTTTTCAGGAGAGGGTTGAGCGGATTGAAAATTCGAAAGAAATATAAACTCAATCAGTTTTTGCAAAACTTCTTTTGTCAGAAATTCTGAAGAGGAAGCACAGATCACAAAGATCCTTCCCTTCAAAATACTGTCAATATCAGTAACAAATCTGTAATAATGTTTCAGCTTCAATGAAACGGCATATCTCAACAAAATTAATGTTTCATTAGAAATGTTCCCAACAACTCTAGTTAGCACGCTGATGAAATGTGCAGATGGTACAAAATGAGAAAGAATGGTGAAATCCCAAAAAGATAAAAAATAATAGAAAAAGCTAGAGGCCTTGAAAATTGGGCAGAAATTTGCAAATGCTGAAATAGAAGTCCTAGGGAACTCATAAGTGGAAAATATTCTATAATATGTCTACTTCTCTGAGCAGCTTGCCTTCCTAAAAGCTAGTGTGACATAATTTTGTGCTATTTCAGAGAAACAAGCAAAATGAGGTAGAGAGAGGGAGAAGGCAATTGTCTTTACTAAGCTTCAGGTGATCAGGCTTGAGATTGTTTCCAAATTATCACTTGGTAAGAATGATGATTAAAAGGGTGTTCACAAAACAATTCAAAATGTAAATTCAAAAGCAAGTAAGTTTAACTAAGAAGTAATGAGTATGAAGGTAGGACAAGCAGCAGAATGGGATTTTTTAGGTTAATACAAGAGGTAACACAAAGTATGTCTGTATAATACAATACAGTTTGATCATAGCTAATTAATCTAGCAGAAGACCATTCCAGTGCAGCTATAATTGCTTTCAGCACCTGATTAGATTTATTCAGAACTAGTTCAGGCAAATACAGTTCTGCACAAAGCTGTATTGCATAGCATAGATAATGCCTTCAGAACTGAAAGGTATCAAGAAAAAAGAATCAAGAATAGTTTAAAGAGCGGTAGAAAACCCAAACCACTTATCTAGTAAGAAGCACTAGTCTTGTGGGTAGGAAATATAAAACAATAAAAATTTTTTTAAAAGTCCTTGTACAGTCTGCTCCTACAGTATTGCTCTTCTTTCAGCAATGCAATCTCCAAGCGTCACGCTGAATTTGAGAGACATGCTGAAGGCACTTACACCAGTGATATCACCTCTTATTTGGAAGGTCAAGCTGCCAAAGAATTCATTGCTTGGTTAGTGAATGGACGAGGAAGAAGAGAGTAAGAATCCATCCATTCCTATTATTAAATTTTCCTTGCTTTGGGGGTTAGAAATCAAGTCTGATGAAACCTTGATGTGTTTTTGATCATTCTTGCTGTACTTCAAGTTTTTCTTTTGTAACGGGAGATATTCTGTGGGTGTTACACTACCACCTTAAATTATTAAGTTCAAATACAAATTAAAACAAGTCTGTCCATTATGCTGTTACACTCTAAAAGGTCAAGTTATACTTAAGGTAAACATACCTAAAACTAAACCAAACTTTCCTCTAACTACTAGCTTTCCCCCTTCACATAACATTGCTTACAGTCTCTTTAACTATCAAGATAATTTATCAGTGTCAGTGTCAAATTACATTCTCTTTGTTAGTCTTTTACAGTCAATCTTTTCCCGTGCGGTATTTCCAAGATTAAATTTTTACTAATGTCATCAGCTGTATCGCATGCGCTGGTGATGATTCCCAGCAGTAACTGATGACTTCTTTTCCTCTTCCCATGTTCCACAAAGTCTCCCCAAGATGCTGCTGCCAAAATAACTACAATTTCCTACAACTATGACTTATCTTCCTTTTTTCAGACACCTCTATACCTTTTGCTATGACTCACTATGTCCTGGATGCAGTGCTCCACAGCTTTGACCTACCTATGGCTCTAATTTCTTTTATTAATATCTTGTTCTCCACATACTCATCAGAGATTCCTCGATCCTGTTCACTTCATGTACTCATTCATGACTTTACATCCTTTTTACAATAGTCTTACACTTAGAATGGCATTACCTTCAAACTTCTGGAGGCACCTTCTATCTCATCTATTTCCAACTCTGCATGGCTAGGACTTCCACCATGCACATGCCACTCCTCAACCTTTAACTGCTCTGTACTTATTTGTGCCTTTAGACTGTAAGCCCTTTGGGGCAGGTATGTCAGTTTATTCTCTGATTATATATTCTACCAGCTGTAAAGTACTATGTAAGTCTCTCATACTATATAAAAATAATAAATAATAATAATAATAAAAAATACAATCTGTAAGACAAGGTTGTGTGTTGTAGTCAAGGAAAACTAAATAGCTAAAAGTAAATTTTGTAAATAATGACAATTTCCTGAAAAAAATAGTTAAATAAATGAGGTCAGCTATATAGAAATGGGAAAGGCTAGTGCCACTTCATGGTGATATTCCGATTTGCAGTTGGTTTTCTGACAGGTTTTATTTTCATGAGCAGAAATAGGGCATTTCAGTACCTGTAGGAAATAAACATGATGAACCAAGCTTAGAAACCTAGATGGACAATTAAATATAGATGACCCTTCTTCTTTCCAGTATTTACTATTTTTGGCCGTCAAACTTGTATATAGCCTTCCCTGAAATTATGGCATGAAAAGAACCAGTCCACCTGTCACTGGTCCCAGAGCACAGTGTGCTTCAGGATCAGCCCACCGTAATGGAAGCCATTAAAATCTTCCTGTGTTTCACGGAATGAAACAAGAGAGGCAAGTTTTCTAAATCAGGCTCTTGGCATAATGGTTTTCCAGCAGTCAAAAAAGGGATAGAGCAAGAATCATGATCTGATTCCAAATACAAATGAAAGAAATACAATGAAAGAAAAGCAAATAAATTTTATACAGGTGTTATAATATAGTTATTTTAACCTCCACAAAAAAGTTACTGCTCTTAATATCTAAGTACCTCTGCAGTATAATTTTAAGTATTTAAGTAGGACTTAAGACCAATTAAAACAGAAAAAAATATATGAACATTTGACTAAAAAGTTTTAGTAGTGATATTTCTTAAATAATAGTTCTAAGTAAATCTACTGTGAGTTTTATTGATGTCTAGTATACTTGGCATAGACAATATAGACAGATGGTTTTGCATATATGGCTTTTCAAAATCACTAGAGAGGAATTTAAACTCACCTGAAGGAACAGCCCTATCTGGTAAAGGGAGACTTCGTGTTTTCTTCTATTGTGAAAACAAGGCATCAAAAGATGTTCTGATTACGGACCGTGCTATACTGAGCCATAACATCAGGCCCCACCCTTAACCCCTTAAAATCCCAGGAGTGTATTACAATCCCGTAATGAGACCCTTTTAAATTGTTTGTTTATTTTGATCTATAAGTTGTTTGATAATTTCTTCCCTTTGAAGCTTCCCAGAAAAAGCCCTTGTGGCTGAAGAATTGGGCCGAAGACATGCAGATGGCACTTTCACGAGTGATATCAACAAAGTCCTTGATGACATTGCTGCCAAAGAGTTTCTGAAATGGCTGATTAACACAAAAGTCACCCAAAGGTGCCTGAATTTTGATTCTGTTATTCTCGATGTACTGGGCTTTTAAATGTATTTGTCAGACAGAGGGAAAATACTTCTAGGGGGTTTTTTAACTATGGACATATCTGTAACTGTTACAAATTTTGTTACAGACAGTGCTGAAGACACTAAACAGAACTCATTCCAAATATAATATGTATTTTTCATCAGTGGTGAACCTATTTAATAGTTTCCTATTTAACTTGAGGGGAGTTTTGCCACTGAATGTTCCCAGAAGTAAGGTCATATTGTTTATGGAAAAACAAAAGTCTCCTTTGCATGGGCATTGTAAAATCAGAAAATGTTTTTGGTAAATTTACACCACAATGATTATTCTTTAAAGACTATGATATAAAACACTGCCTTAAATAGTGGCTTCTCACTAGGTAATAGGGTACTGTAATCCAAATTCCTGATAGCTAATTACTTAAGAACCCTGCTTTAGCTTCCCTGTATATAGGCAAATGCTGTTGGCAAAGCATTTTCTATGAGCTTTATGAACAGGTTAGTATTTAAGAATTATTTGTTAACATTAGCAAAACATTTCAAAAATAATAAAATGCTAACTTGAGGCACATGTGAGATGCCAGGGTTTCCAAAATGTTGGATGGCAAATCTGTAAAAATTAATTACTTCGAGTCTTCGAACTGCTGAAGCACCCAAAACAACTAGGTGATCTTGGAAATCTGAAACAACCAATATTGTCTCAAAAATTTAGAAGCCATAGTTAAAATACAGATTTTATTAACATTTTAGTAGTTTTGTGTTTGGTTATAGTTCACCATTGAAACAAACAATTTAGGAAAATAATCTATAAGAAATTATTAAAAAACGTTTTCTCTAGGAAGCATTTTCAATCTGTGATTAGAGAGGCATTGAGGGGTCTGTGGAGCTAATCCTGCTAACTGTTAAACAGAAAAAAATATGTTCAACACATCTTTCATAAATCTTGGGAGACTTATAATATGCCCTCATTGCCGCTGCCTTTTTTTTTCCAGGGACCTTTTGGGAGAATATCAGTAAAAATGCAGAATAAAAATGGGATGAATGAAGATCTTCATTGCATCAACTGCCAGTTATTAAAAGATTCTGAAATCTGTATTATGTCATTTACATTAGGTGTAACAAAGCTATGTCACCTTGCATGCCAGAAAATAATTGTACTATAGTTTAGTGTCGCCAAAGGTTTATATATGGAAACCCTATTATTTAACAGATGGTTATCTTAACAGCTTTAAGACTATGAAAGGTTGAACTGTCAAATTTTCCATTTATTAGGACTAAAGTAACTCCATTTATATTTAATGATAAAGTTATTTTTCTAAAAAGTTAACTTCTACACACAAAGGATTCAACCACCAATTATATGTGTTCTTTGTAAGGGGCTGGCAGTTAAAAATGCCTGAGAAGTGAATATCCCTCTTAAAACCTTTGTTATAAAAAGGCTAAGCTTTAAGGATATTAAATGATAGCCTTAAATAAATTTTTTCAAGCTTCTTTTCTGTTGACTTTTTATGTGTATATCCCCTGTGCCTTTCTGCACTCCATTTCATTTTATTCTAGTATTTTCATGTCATGGAGATCTTGGAAGTGGTTCGTTTGGAATGATAAAACAAACTCAACATTTTATTTTGTGAAATTTTCTCAAAAAAAAACAAAAAAAGAAAGAGCTGTGTGAACTTTTAATTACCTTTAGTTGAAAAAGAAATCATGCAAAATGAAGCTAAAGAGGGAAAAAAAGACTGAACAGACGAATATTCCTCATTAGCGTAAATCCTGGTTTCACAGCAAAAGCAGGAGGAGAGCTATGAAAAATATTAAGTGCAATATACTCCACCAGTAGTGGAAACAGCCACACACTTTCTTCAGATTTTATAAGGCTGCCAAGTAAAGCCAGCTCAAATGGCCCTGGGATCACTCTAATCTGTGTTGTTTTCTCTTCTTCCTTCTTCTGAGAACTGCTTTGTCCATCATATCTTGCATTTAGCAGCACTGTGCTGTAGCTTAAAGCACAACTGTCATTTAAGTAACCTGTGCCTTCTCCATTATGGAGACAGAACATTTTGCTTGCAGATCTGTGTTTCTAGCAATCCAAACTATTGTACTCTCTGCTGGCCAGGGCAGGGTTTTTTTTGGTATTGTAGAAGCTGCAATTCTCGTATAGCCACAGGGGCTGTTATGCATCTCTTATTCCTGATGACAACCCAAACCTCCTTTTCTCCCCTTGTTATACTAGCAATGTGCTGGGAGTATATATTAAAAAGTCCTAAAAAGGCAAATTATTTAAGAGCAAGCAACTAGTAGAAATTGATGTGAAGCAGGAGCTTTGTTCAATCAATATCAGCACCTGTAACTTAGAAAACTCACTTGTTTTATAAAGGCATCTGAAACTTTCACAGACGGTCTAGAATTTCTGAAAAAAATAAGATTAGTTTGCCTTCCCAAAGTGCCATAGGAACTAATATTCTGTAATTTCAGATCAAGACTGATCATACCCAAATTGGCCTCTAGAATAGCTTCTTGAGAGCAAAAGAAAGCTGTTCTATGATCCCAACTTTAAACAACTAAAACTTTAAACAACTAAAAAAAAAATCATACCATCCAAAATGCTACTGGAGATCAAAAAAAAAAAAGAAAGGAGGGGGGAAGAATGTATACATATTTGTTGTTTATCTAATCCCATTTGTACACAGTGATTTGGTTCCAAGTACTTCTGGAACTGAAAAAGATTCAGTTATACACAGTTGGATCCATGTGGTCTAGGCTGAAATGGTACAAACAGCGAACTCTTCTATTTCCATAGATTGAACAACTGTCTTCAAAATGTTTTATTCCACTATGTCCAGGATATTTAGTGCTCTGATCTCTAAGGTCCCTTCCAGCCTATGCCATTCTGTGATTCTGCGAAGGAGAGGATTCCGATTTACAAATCCTTCTCGTGTATTGTCTATCAAGAGCGTATTTGAGCAACTTCTGATGATGGCTTTGTCATCTACGAACACACTTTCCCCCCCACATTTTTACAAATTACAGGCTTTTAGGAACAGAGAGGTATAAATTATTTATACCCCTGCATCTGAAACACAACAAAAAGATTGAACCTCTAGTTTTCTAAGTCCCAATCTAGAGCATTTATACCTCTGTGTCTGAAACACAACAAAAAGAATTAACCTCTAATTTTCTAAGTCCCAATCTAGAGCATGAATCACAGACACGTTTTCTTCAGAAGCGAGATGAAGTTCAGCACGTTCCAGAAGTTCCAAACATGTTTTAGCTCAACAGGACTAAGATTGGTATATAATGAAATCACAGAGCAAGTCCTTATGGGATCAAAAATGAGGTATGTGCTGGGTATTTACTATAGATGCTAGATGAGATTCAGTGAATGGTACAAACATAGTGAGAAATAAATAGCAGCCACTTCATTAAAAAGTGTCTTTACTAGACAAAAGCTACCCATGTCTACAGAGACAGAGGGCAGAATAGCTGCAGCATTCGATCCCAGAGAGAATTGATACTTATGTTTTAATTTTGTACTCTAGTAAGGGAGATAATTCTAGGCCTTACATGCTGTGAGCAGTACATTGGTAGAGAGTAGCCTGAAGATTCCTTTTAAATAATAGCTGGTTTTCAAAGTTTTCAGGTAATGGAGCAATAGCTGTGAGTTATTATGTTGACCATATTGCCTGAGGTGCTGCTGCTTGTGTGAGGGGGCTTCAATTCCTTCTTAGCAACTAAAGGAAGGGAAGTGGGACTGTTTAAAAGAATGAGGCTCAGCAGCATGTTTCAGCCTTACCTACAGGGCTACACCCTCATGCCCTCTCAGAATCATTAATCTTCTTTCCAGTCAAGGACTCAAACTGCATGTAGTTTATTAAAATGACATGTCCTGCTGTGTGTGAGGGGTCTTGACTGATTGTGCTGTAAAAGACGGCACTGCTGTGATGCCACTCTGCACCTGATGGGAGTTTTAAGTCAACAAAAGAATTAGGGTATCGATCCCATCTTACCTGAAATACACTGTAAATGCAGTTTATCATGCATAAAATTAATTTTTTTTGGTTTTCATTCACTGCACACTGACTTCTTCACTCTACTAGAAAACTGAACCTCAAGCCTTCTTTACGTTGTATGAAGACAGTATCACTAGCCCAGAGGTTTTGACTGTGTTGTCTACGTGCACCTTCTACAATTCCATATTCCATGAACTCACATGTGTGTCTAGACTCCTCTGTATATCCATGCTGCCTAGAACTTCCATGTGACTTTATATTAAAAAGTGCTCACACTATTATCTCCTTTATTAACTGTATTTTATATGTCCAGTGTGCAACATCCTTCGTCTTCCACCCTGTATACTAAGTATCTGAAAAAAATAAGCATATTGAAGCAGAACAGGACAACTAATTGGAATTAATACAATAAAAATTACCAGAAAGTGAGACACTAATCATTCAGCTGTGCTCTGAGGACATGTGGCAAGAACCTTTGGCTTCCAGGAAATTATTTTATTTTTTAAAAAAACCCCAAACCATAATCTTGAAAGAACTGAATGACAGTCACTACTAGCCACACTTAAATGGTTGTCCCAATGACGTAACCACAAAAAATAGGGGTTTTTTCTTATGTGCTTTCCTGATCCACAATTTACACTCTTAACAATCCTCTAAGCAGAACCAGTATAATGAATTACAAAACTGGTCTTATGCCATTTCACCCTCAAGCTGCCAAGAAAATTAAAGAATTTATTTCTGAAAAAAAACAGGTACTGTTAATATATTCAGTAGTAAAAGACACACTTAGTCAAGCTGAAGTTGAACACTCCTCAGTGCTAATAGTACTTTTGCCTTCTCTTCCTCACAGCACATGTGAAGTCAGCTGCTGAACCAGTATAAAACTTTCTGGAGCACATATTTTGTCTCCTATAGCCACACACTGTGACATCTGGAACACATTATTGCACCTTTAAAATAGATTGTATACTTTTTAGTTGCAAACAGTATTTTTTTTTGTTCCGCAGAGAGCTTATATTTTGCATTTTTCCTGTTTGACTTCTCCAAATATTTTTGGAGGAGTCTCAAATATATAAACAGAAATAATCAAGTCTTGAGTTTCACTGAAGCTAGAAGTCTAAAGGAGGAATCACACCTGGCAGGGAAAGCTAACCTTCAGGCTGAAAGCTCGATTTTGATTCCTTCTAGAAGTAGCTCTTCTTATCATCCCACTTTTTTATGAATAATTTTGTGTTCAGCATGCAATACGACAAACAGCTATGGATTGTCAAATTTTATTGTGTAGCAGCCACTGCTGAATATTAATTTCTTTAACCTCTTTGCATTGTATTAATACATATCTGACCGCAAAAGAATACCATTGTATAAAGTAATCTGAAATACTTAGCTGGAGCAACTTTTTAAGCCTCAGGCTATCACAAAAGATGATCTGTGAGAGCATTAGAAGCACAATTACAATAATTTTGGGGACCTGGAACTGGAGATTTTTCCAAGTTGTAGAGAATCACTGCTAGAAATTATTGCAACTAAATGGAAAACATATTTTGATATATTGACTCTTATTGGATCACTCAGGTGGTTCTGAAGGCAGAATCAGGTCACATAAACCTCTCTGGCAGGACCACCATCACAAGCACTGCAGATTATTAGATATTTTGGTCTAGATACATAAGTCCAGATTTCCAAAAAGTACTTAAAACTGTATACCCAGTATAGGTCTTTTTCTTCTTCTTAGAATTAACCATGAAGAAGCACTAAAACTTTGCAGATAATCTCTCAAAACATTATTAAACAGCAATTTGGCATGAAAATCTTGGTAACATTCAGATACATTTTACCACAAGGCTGAGATTATATTTTGACTGTACTATACTTTTGACAAACAGTGATAATCACTACTTAAATGTTTAGAAAACAAAGCACAGACTGGCTGAAATATATGTATGTTGTGATTCCTACCACTGAGAAAAGGAAAATTCATCCCAGGGGTGGGTAGGTGGGGTATGTGTTACTTTTTTTTTTATTGTTGTTGGTAAAACGAGTGCAGAGTATACTGGACAGATTATTAAATTGGAGTTCCGAGAAGTTCTGAAACTCTGATCATGCATCTCACAGCATACTTTGAAAAGTAATGTAAAAGCCTGTCATTTCACTGCGATTTTACTTTATAAAAGTGGACTTATCTATATATTTGTGTTATGCAAGCTGTGAATTTGCAGCATCTTACATCCTTCACTGTAAACTTACACTGAGCTGGAAGGAACCACCATCAGGGCACATTAACTGTACTCCTAGGGTAAACTCACACAGCTAGCACAGTGTAGATTCCTAAGTATGAGCAACCACTACCTTGAAGGAGAATGGTGCACAATAGCGAGCACAGCATAAATTTCTATCTAGATGAAGTCTATTACTTTCCATACAGACAAACTGTTAATGTTTCTAAATACTCTGCATTACTCTAAAGGAGATGTATTTATCACA